TTTCCGTACCTCAAGTAGTATATTTTACACTCTCGGGATTGCATTCATTTCTTCAGTGTTTTTTTGCCATCTGATTCATTGATAAAACTCGGTAATATAAAGCGAAAAAATCCGATATTTTTTTTACCTTTCCTTTGAGTTTGTTGGTTTGTCCCGCAGACCCAGTCATCAATGAAAAGTTTTTTTTTCTTCAAATAAACACTGTTTCGGATCGCTGCAAAGTCGTGTGAAGGTTTGCGCCGCGTAACTCCCACGGAACAGGGAATGAAAGCTTCAGGAACAGGTCTGTGAGATCAGTTTTTACTCCACCCAAAACGTCTCTATTGTGTTTGTATGTTGTTGTTTTTCACGTTAATCTCGTTAAGGTTACGAAGCTATAGCAAATGTTCGTTCGTCGTCGTTCGGTCCCCCTGTCCTCCCCGCCGTTCATCGTGAACTGCTGTGGAGTGACTGGGTAGAGCGCCTGTGGCTACCGTACCACCGTCTTGCATTGTTTGTTCGGTGGTCCTTATCATCACCGTCCGTCTGTCAATCGTAGGCAGAAGTAACGAAGCCGACAGCGGCATCGTGATGTGCTTTGGCGCTCAGGTACTTCAGCCCGAACCGAACGTAACCGGTCAGATGGTGATGAAGATGAAGACAGTTGGCCGAATGTCATGTGTCATGTCGTTACATACGCCGTTCATCTATCATCGATGGTCAACTGGGCGCCAGGTGAGTGACCGTCGATTCACGGAATGACAGCGATGACGGTAGATATCGTCGGCGCTGCTCTGTCGGTACTAATGGAGATCTTATTTAGCAAACACAATGTTCCCGCGTTTCAGCCGATATTTTCCGCAGGCCGTTTCTGAGTGCGAGATACCAGTGATTGACTAATGTTTCGCTAAAATTTCTTAACCGTAGGCCAGAAGTAGGAGGTTCGATCGAGGCATGCCTCTGATTTCTGCAGATTACTGTTTTGCGGTATTTGGCATTAGCGTTTAGGCTTTAAATTGATCGTGCGCTCCAGTTACATAATGGGCAGGAAGCATTTATGCAAGCCACACGGCTCCTTGGTGTTTGAGCGCTTGTTCTTATTTGAGGAATTTTAGAAATGGAGTGGTGCAGTACCCCGTGACGTCTGGTCTGGGAGGATGAATGGGTTATCTGTCATGATGAATTTCGGGTGCCGATTTTGCTCCAGTTCTGTCACAAGGGTGCTGTTCTTGTGATATAATGGAGGAGTCTCTTCACATGTTATTTAGATATAGTGTTTCAACTAATCCTGCTTTTACAGATGCATGATTGTGGAAATGAAAGTTCATGTAGCGTTCCGTATGGCTGTGTTACCTGTATGCAGCGGAGTTTAGGGTACCATCCCTCCTGTAAACCAACACATGAGAATGGAATTTTTCCCCTCCTTCAGTTAATCTGTGCACTAAATGTTTTCATGGCTGGAGTTCAGATGATCGCGAAATACGTCCAGTTCTTCTTCTCCATGTTGTTAGAAAATTCCGGTATCGTTCCATGCACCCCTACCATACTACCTTACCGACTGCCTCAGTTTCGCCGATTCCAATGTTGTTCCTTCGAATTTCTATATGTAGATCTCCGCCACGGTACTAGATACTGGCAACCTTCTGTCGCAGCGAGTCGGTTCATTTTAGTGTTTTCCAGTTGTTAGGAATTTGGCTAGGTCGAGACATATTCTTGTGGCTTTTGGCATATCTGCACCCGTTCAGCTGGTGGGGGGGAGAGTTAGGTTGTTCGATGTCGTTTGTCAGTATTGGATGACTTCTAACGCATCTGCGGTTGATATGTTGGCTAAATGAGAAATGATGTCAAACACTGACCGTCATTGTTTCCGGTAAAATAGGTAGCCCGTTCTCATTTTCTTTGAACCCCCTGGAGTTCAGGTGCTTATATTATTAGCTGGGTTCGGGGTTTCTTCCGATGAGGACTAGAATTTACTGGATTGGAAGTTTGCAATGATCGATCTGTGTGGTTTTCTTGATTTGTGTATCTCGGATACGCTGTAAAAGTATTAGTCCCGGCTGCCATCAGTTGCTGGTTTGAGTGAATAGACCAACATTTTTGATCCCGTTGTTCCTCTTGAGCAAGCTACCATCCCATAGTATTTGAGTATAGGGGCTTTGTAGTATGCCATAAAATCTGGTCAGGTACGAGGTATCAAGCATCTGCGCTCTCCCACTTATTCGGCTAAGCTTACTGTCGTTCTTTTCTGGCCAAGAGATAGAAGACTGAAAAAAATTTATCTCGATTCATGTAGTTGTGTTGGCACAGTGTTTACACACGTTGTATACATATTTTCCTCAAATACTGCATCAAACGGGTTTCGCGTATGTCGTCGATTGCCCTCTCATAATGAACTTATATTAACATGACTGTATATGGTATCGCATTTACTAATTATATCAGTAATTGGCTTAAGCAGGCTACATTGTACACCTATGTCGGGCGGTGGCTTCTTTTTCAAAGGGCATGAAAAATGAAGCACTGAACATCAGACTAACGCTCATGTAAGAATGATAGATATTCGTAAACATAGTTAAGTGCACATACGGAAAACATTAATAGTG